CGTCCCGGGTCCGGATGGGACTCTCCTTTGCGTGGAAGGCAAGCTTGGCGATTCGGATATATAGATTCCTTTCTCTATAACCTTCTTGGTCTACCCTAACCCCCTCTGGTGTCTATATAAACCGGAGGGTTTAGTCCGTAGGAGAACAATCATAACCTCATAGGCTAGACTTCTAGGGTTTAGCCATTACGATCTCGTGGTAGATCAACTCTTGTAATACTCATATTCATCAAGATCGATCAAGCAGGAAGTAGGGTATTACCTCCATAGAGAGGGCCCGAACCAGGGTAAACATTGTGTCCCCCCTCTCCTGTTACCATTAGCCTTAGACGCATAGTTCGGGACCCCCTACCCGAGATCCGCCGGTTTTGACACAGACATGCGCCCCTGCCCCGGCCCGCCCCTGCCGTCGCCGTCGCCGCCCCCAAGCCTGCGTGCTCTCCCTCCTCCCCGAGCCCTCGCCGCCCCCGCTGTGAGCCGCCGCCGCCCCGGCCCGCTGTGCATTTTTTTTATTAATCATGTTTATGTATGTATATGTAGATGCTTAGTGTATTTTTTTGATATGATGAATTTTTAATCATGTTTATGTATATGTATGTATATGTATATGTAGATGCTTAGTGTTTATTAATAATTTGTATGTATGTATATGTAAATATTGATATGATGAATTTTTTTTGTTCATATATAATGTAGATGTATATGTATGTATGGATGGATATCGATAGATGTATGTATATAGAAAATTCATAGAAAATTAACCGTAACTCCGATGGAAATAATTTATATATGAAAATCGATTAGAAAAATAAGACCAATCCGAATATGCCCTGCGTTCATCTGTCACAAGCAGCTAGCATAGCGGACGTGGAACCGTCCCACTTCAGTTCATCTATCCAAAATTAATGCAGACTTCGAGAAAACATTCCCGGATGTTATCGCCCTTCACCTATATTGTGTAGTGCCGCGTTATAACACCCATAACTCTCTCGGGAATTCAAAATATCCCCATAACTTCGACATGAGGGGGGGTCCGCAAGTATCCTCGACGACCATGAGAGAGGCGGTCCGCGAAGTATCCTCTCTCGAAAGATAGGATGACTCGTCAGATATGAGGGGGGAGTAGTCCTCGACGATCGTCTGAAACTGACTATTATAAAACTTGTCAACTTTGCATGATGTTTGCCACGATCGCCTAAAAAGGAAGAATACCATATGGAAATTCAATGGGAGTCTGGCGCTTGATGATGTCAGGGGTGTTATATTGTATATATGTAGTAGCGTCGGATAGATATACAAAAACTTGTTGTTCGACCAAGCACGGAGAAAGAGAGGTCACTTCTCTCTATATATGTTCATGACGATCTTGTGTAATTAATGGTTTTCTTCATTTGCTTACTAGCTAGCATCGAGTTCACTCTATATGTAGTAGCTAGCGTCGACCAAGCACGGAGAAAGAGAGGCCACTTCTCTCTATTAGCTAGCTAACACAATATGAAGCCCCTAAAC